CTCTGGCCTGCCAGGATGTAGACAGTGATTGACAGCTGGCGAGATGACAAGCACAACAGACCACAGGGAGAAATATGGGTGTCCGCAGTAAACATCCCCCTGCTCACACAGAGCAGCGGAAAAAATAAGCACTTGAAAAGCACCTCTGTGGTCAAAACCAAATACTGTCAGGTTGGAATCGGAAATATTTTGAAGTGTTTCAAAGGTGGATAAACCAGTGGGAGCAACCAGACGCTTTATGCTGGCAGATAAGAATGTATAACAGGAGATGAAAACAGCTCTAGACCTTCTTGTAAAGATTTCTGAAGGCGTCATGGATTATACATGCACTATACATTTCAACAATGCTGTCTAAAGTGGATTTGCAACAAAATCTAGTAATTTGTAGGTTCTATGTACCGTGTTAACACATTGTCACTCCAAACTTGTCAAATATGGCAGCTTGGTCAGTCCCTTAAGATCATTAAGCTCTAGGTAACCTTGTAGTGTCAGTTTCTGTATCGATTTCTGCTATTACATTATCATCCATATTCACAGGAAATGTAAGTTTCTCCACCCAAACCACTTCAAGTTTTGGTGACAAAACAGTTTCACCAGCAGAACTACTTTAGAAAGAAAGCTTCACTGCCAATACTAGTAAAGGTTAAGCCAACAAGACCTTTCACCACTAAAACTACTTAAGGTTTAGGCAACAAAACTACTTTGTTAGGTTTAGGAAAACATTGTGGTTTGGGTTAAAATAAATACGTTTGTTCCAGTAACTTATCTAGTATGTCACTTGACCATGACTAGACACCACTTGACTATGTTATGTGACGTATGCTGGTAACCTGTACCTCCCTCCCACCCTACTCAGACTTTCTCGCTCTTTCTGTTGCATTATTGCTGCTGACGGAATTACATTGGAGTAACTTGAAAGCCAGATGTGTCTCATGCAGACACTGCAGGGGGCCTTTTGTGTCAGCAACAGAAGCCACGGGCCACTGACCAGACGTCCATATTTGCCTCCCTGAAAATAATAATAGGTTGACTGTATAGCATATTGTAAGCCCACTGAAAACAAAGTAGAGCTGCTCTGCATTCTCTGAGGTCAGTAAAAACATAATTCTTTTTAAGGGCAAACTGACTGACTTTTTTTTTAAAAATTGACCTCAATAACCAAAACTTTCATAACAGGCATAACTCACTCCATGTGGCACTTTTTGCATCTTATTATTTCAGTGCCCCACCAAATCAATCCACAACCCAATCATTTTTACAGCTAATGTGTGCATTCTGTGGGGTCTCTCTTCTTTTGTGATTTTGTTTAAGAGGAGCAGTGTGAATAAACAGTGACACATCAGAGGAAACAGGGAAGCACTGTGGCCCTCTGCGGGAAAGTGCGTGCAAAACCCCCCTGGGGAGCGGCTCAGTCCATCTGAGGGTCATTACCTAGCTGTGATCAGAATACATAATGCGCGTGCTGCAGAGATGAAAGGCCTCGGGAGACGTCTGCGCCTTGTATTCCACCGTGCATGTCCATCAGCGCACCACGCTCCATTCATCACTGCATTCATCATCGTTTAAACAAGCTTCCCGGGTCGTGACTCTCTCCCAGAGCGCCACATTGTTGACACCGAGTGGAGTACATAACTACATATTGACTCTCTGCAGAGTACCAGGGACAAAAAAGAGATTGGAGGATTGGAGGTTTGACTTTGCTTCCTACGAGTCAGTTGGCTAAATGAAGGACTCTATTACAGAGCCCCCCCACCCCCACCCCCCCCGGGGTCGTGCGGAGTGAACTTGAGTTTCTTCACAGCAGCTGGGACATCAAAGCCCAGACTACCACCTGCGAGGGGCTTCTGGAAATGAACACCCATATCATGACACCTAGAGGACTCCTATAGGGAGTGGGAGATAGGCTGCGGTGCTTGCTGGGCCCATCTGTCACACTGCCTGCCTGTAAACACTCAGGGATGTGGGGATGGCCATGGGGAGGGTCACACATCTACCCTCTGTATGTCTGCCTGCACTACTGCCCAAAAACACATAATTTATTTATTTTAGGGCCAATCCTGATGATGACTTCATTGAAACTGCCCTTGGTAATGCGCTACACCAATATTTTATTGCTTTTTTCTAAGGATAGCTGGACAACATATCAATATCATGATATGAGACTAGATATTGTATTAGATTTTGGATATCTTAATATAGTAAGTGTTGTCTTTTCCTGGTCTTAAAGCCTATATTACAGTAAAGTGATGTAATTTTCCTAACTTACTACACTAAACTTATTATTTGCCTTTACCCACTTAATCATTATATCCACATTATAGATGATTATTTGTGAAATATGTTAATGTATACATATTTTGTGAAAGCACTAATAGCAAATCCTACAATATTGTTGAAATATCAATATCGAGATATTTGGCCAAAATTATCATGATATCTTATTTTCTCCATATTGCACATATACCCCTTTTCAACCCAAATTAACACCTTTGCAGTTTTTGTTATACAAGGAAACACTTGCTAAAAACTCATTTTGACAGTCGTCAGTAGTCTAGAGCTCTATACATGACTCTGCAGTAGACAAGTATGCCTTTCTCTTGTTTTTTTTTTTTTTTTTTTTTTTTTTTTTCTCAGGTGTGTCATGTTTGATGTCACAAATGTGGTGTAAAACAGGTTAGTAAAGAGTAATGCAGAATGGAGGCCAGTGAAAATGTTTCAGTGGTTAATCTTGTTTTTTTTGTTTGTTTTTTTAAAATATCTGTTACTTATTCAGTCTCTCTTTCAAACTAGGTGCCCATAAAATTTGGATCAATGTGCAAGCACTGCTTGGGCAGAGAATGACTTTTGTGGTGGCCCGTCATTGCATCGTGCCAGTAAAGGGGCTAAAATTAGCGCATCCACCCATGTGTTGTATTTCCATCACTGCCACTACTAGGTGTGGGAGTCACCAGAGGATCCGTGATTATTACAATACATAAGTCACAATACAATATTATTGCCTTTTTAAATATGTTGCGATATGCTGAGTATTGCGATAAAGTATATATTGTGACATATATTGCAATTATATTACCTTTATTCAACTAAAAATTATGTCCCCAAAGGAAAACTGTCAACATCTGTTTTATCTAAAGAGATAAAGTTTTCAGTCTGTTCATCTCACTTCAGTCATTTTTGCAGCAGTAAAATGTATCTAGTGGACTGAAAAAGCAAATGCTTATATTACTCTAGTAGGCTACCTGAAGTTTAATTTGTATTTGTAATATTAACAATTTATGTAATAATAAATTGATACTTGGCAAGATATGACAACATATTGCCACACAAAAATACTATGCTATATTGATATTTCCCCCACCCCTAATGACTACTGCAGAGTCATTTATCCTGTATGAGAATGCTGATTGTGACCTTTCCCATTAAATTCAAAAGCTGGATGTTAGCGTGTGTTGGTGGGGTTTTTAAGCAGAAATTGGGCTTTAGTGAATTTTATTATTTTGGACTGCATATGTTCACATAAGCCAGGTTTGTATTTTTTATATTTGTAAGCGAACACAATGAGCAGCCTACTCATTAGAAACAATGGGGAGGTAACTCACCACTGCTTGCAGAACCAGTTGATCTTATTAGTGATTTTATTAATTGTTAAAGGATAATGCTGGACATATTCCATATTTTCCTTTCTGTCAACAAACCCAATGAAAAGACCCAAACTAACAATGAATGTTATTTACTATCAAGTATTGTGTGTAACCAAAGCCTGATATATCTTATTCCTCTGTGCCATAGAGCTCCACTGTTGTCCAAAAACTATTAAAAACACATCAATGAGTCACACTGTTGCCCTGGGTGACATGTTCCTTCATTACCATGAACACACACACTGTGGGACTCAGACCCACATGCACCATCCTGCTGCTAAAAATACTCACTAGAGCAGTGGTTCTCAAACTTTTTCAATAATGTAACCCCTCTGTAATATTTTCCTCCATGCACAAAATTTCCAGGTACCCCCGACCAGCGCAAAACATTATTGGTAGAAATACCAATTACTGGTAGAAATGTGTTTGCATTTGTTCGATCCATTTCTCTGACAATAGTTCTAAAGTCTAGAAGAGCTGCATGATGAAATCATTTCATACCCCCAAGCTAGCAGAGGGTTAAACTAGTAGTTAGCTACTCAGCCAGCAGAAGTCTGTTTGGTGACAAAAGTTGCCACCAGATCAGCCAATAGCAAAATTCAATTGCAAATGCTAGATTTAAACCAGTAGAAGGAAGCATATGCATATAACACAATATGTATTTTAAATGTAGTTTTCAGCTGGAAGAAAAGTGGTTTGAGGGTTTAGTTACTCTTTAAGTTAACATTAAAAAACCCTCTTAAGTACTCCAAGGTACCCTTCCATACCCCCATTTGAGAAACATTGCACTACAGCACAAATATCAAATCCACTATTTCCTCCTTTTTGGGCTATATTTGCTAGAAACTGCAGTGCGAGCTCTTTTAGAACATTACGCATTACACAGCCTTTTAAAAGTATGTATTTACAAGCTGCAAGTAAAGATTAACACCTTTAGTGGGAATCTATGAAATTGGGGCTGAGAGGGAGCAAGGGTATGTAAGTCATTAAGTTCGAAGAAATGGACACATTGTTGGTATGCACTCTCACAATCTTTGCTCTTAATTCAGCTGTTTTGCTATTGTAAGTGACATGTGGAAACATGCAAATCCACACCTTTCTGTTGTGTGTAACAGCATTAACCTTGTAACTTTATAATCTGCTTTAGTGGGACAACTACTTGTAGAGAAGTGAAGGTCCTATTGAGCGCCACCTGACTTTTGAGCTGTAGTGGAAGTAACAGAGGATGGTCAATAATTAGAGAGAAACAGGACAGTGAGGACAAAGGATGGAGAGTCAGGCGAGATGGATGATAAGATAGGGGAAGACTGACAGACAGATACATGCTCGAAATGATATTTGGGTAAACTCTGGCCTCACCTTGCCTCTCCCTGATTGATCACCATGTACATCTCCCAGGACATATTCTCAGCCACGGCTCCATGAGGCACCAGCAGGCTGACCCCTGGAAAACACACACAAATATGTCAACAACAACAACTCCGACAGCCTGACAGAAAAGGTGAAAATAAGGGCTTACAATATGTCCTACATGCAGTGGTTGCGGTAATATTCATGAGAGCTTCATTTTACTTGAATAGAAAGAATAAAGTGAACCAAACTAAGTAATCCAAATAAAATTTTCCTATATGACTTTTGGTAAAAATCTGATCAAATATGAAGCACTGATCTTGGCACATGACACGTATATTAAAAAAAAACCAGTTGCGCTGGATTAGGCACAACCATCAGCATGTATGGGGTTATGAATTTTGATTTGCTGTTGACGGTGGTGTTTGTTTAAGTTGGTGTCTAAGTGGTATGATCATTGCCCCGAATGTCCATCAAAACAAAAGACAAAATACAAAGATTGTCATTGGCTTCCCAAACCTGTTACAATCACCCAAAAAAATATTCATGTGACTGTTTTCTGACCTACCTCTATGACCTGCTACCTCTAACTTTTGGTAAGTTTGTTAGGAAACTTTGATTGTCACTGTGAAAAACACTGACTGTTGGTTAGCTGTGAACAGCAACCTCCAATATCAAGCCCCCAACATCCACCCTGACCTTCTCCCTGGGCAGTTTTGCTATCACACTACTTCCATCTCTTGTGATAGACAACAGACATATTTGACTTTACTCTGACTGTTTTCAGGCCCTGTTTGTATCATATCTACAAAACGTAATGCACGTAACATAATTTGATATAACCTACTAAATCAGGAGCTAGGAATTCATAAAGAATTTAATCTGGAAGGCTAAAAACACATGAGCAATGTGCTGATGGAAGTAAAGAAAGAAATATAAGAACGAAAAGCAGGTTGGGGTGGTGCTGGATACGTCAAACAACACAGGACTTTCCCCCAAGAAACCAGTGTTCATGTCCAAGTGTCCTTACCATATTTCTTTTCCTTAACCTAATCTACATAACTTTACTCGCCCAAACCTAACCTACCAAACTTTACATTAAGTACGTAATGTCAGTATTCCTTAGATATCATACAAAACCTTGTATGGGCATTTTTTATAAGATATATGAACAGTTGTATTAGGATATGTTGCTTTACTCTGTCACTACACAGGATTGTTGTTTTGTCATTACTTATCATCACTTGGCATAAGTTTAAGGTTCAAGGCGGGTTCACATGTATGTTGTCTGGAACAAAACCACGTGATCTCTTAAGCCCCATTGCTATGTGCTACTTTAAGAGGCTTTCACATCAGGAACCTGGGACTGTATCCTTGTAAACTTGACCACAAAGTCCAGTTAGATTGATAAGTGTGAAAACTAATCATTGATCAGTGCCCAAGTCCATGAATTGGACTTGGGCACTGATCAATGATCAGTTTTCATACTCCATTTTCACACAGTGGCGGTCTCGAGTACAGTTCATGTGTACTCAGGTACAGAAGTGGACTGCTGTTTAATATGAGTAGTGGTCTGCGAGCAGAGTTGCAAAGGCATTTCTCAACAACGCTGGTCTCCTCTGAAATCTGTGTATCTGTGCAGTACCTGCTGATATTGTCTTATCATGATCTTTGGCAATGAAGCAGAAAAGCAGGTGAGAGGGTCTCTCTTGACATTTTCTCTAAAATATAAACCAAAGCAGGCATAATCCCACAAACATTGACCTATTGTATTGGCTTGGAGTCTTATAATTGACACTCTTTTCTACAATGCAACAACACCATAAACAAATGTCAAGTAGATGATAATGCAAGTGTACTCTGGAACAATATTACTAATGTAAAGCTGCTCAGCTGTGAGAAAGTGGGGGCAGTTGTACTTAGGTATGGTACGAATTAATCATATCTAATCTGAAAATGCCCTCAATCTGCAAGCCAGTCGTTGTGTCCTGGCAAAATGGCAAACTTTGTGGTGAATCCAATTCATTCCAGTGGAATAGCTGTGATAGTGGATTCACTTATGGGGGTGAATTTGTTCTACTTCTTCTTAAAGTTCAAATTTGGTAAACTTTGAGGCACGAATTTGCACAGTTGACAAACAGCAAGCTGTTTTGACATATCTGACCTTTAAGGGGCTGGCCAGCAAGACAGTCCAAAATGGAGAGAGCTTACTGGGTGTGTTGCGCCAATAACCTTCTCTGTTGGAGTATTAACTGCCCCACAAATAAGGAATGTTTGAAGACAATTATGAGACAGGAGTCGATGGTACAACTAAAATTTCCATCTCACAGTTGTATGCCTCTGCAAACTACTCAAGTTGCACTTAAAGTTTACATTCATGTCTGTAAAAGCATAGAGGCTTCATGCTCATCTTTACCCTGGCAGCACAGAGGATCCATATAGTCAGCACAGTTTCAAAGTGGACACCAAATATTAGTGTCAACCTTGCAGTATCTAACCAAATGCACCCCCCCCCCCAATTGCTGAGTTATGATGCTGAGTAATGGCCAATGAAGTGTTATTGCAGAACATAATGATGTCACAGTGAAATTTCATCACTTCAGCATTATATCCTATTAGACATTTGTGTGAAAGTTTGTCATAATTAGTGTATGAATTCTTGAGTTATGGCCAAAAACACATTTTGTGAGCTCACAGTGACACTGACCCTTGATATTCAACCACCAAATTCTAATCAATTCATTCTTGAGTTTGTGCCAAATTTGACTTAACTCCCTCAAGGCCTTCTTGAGATATTACATACACAAGAATGAGGTGGATGCCAGGACACAGTGACTTATGACCACCAAAATCTAATTAGTTCCTCCTTGAATCCAAGTGAAAATTTGTGCCAAAGTTTAATAACTTCCCTTGAGCTGTTCTTGAGATATCACGATCACAAGAATGAGACAGATGAGATTGCAGTGACCTTTGACCACCAAAATCTAATCAGTTCATGGTTGTGTTCAAGTGGACGTTTGTGCTAAATTTTAAGAAATGCCCTCACTATTCTTCAGATATTGCAATGGTGAGAATGGGATGGACAACCCGAAAACATATTGCCTGTGGCCACGGCTATTGCCAGCGCAGAGGCATATAAACATCTTTTGAATAAACTGTGTGAACTTTTAAATAATACCCCCCCACAAAATCAGTTTTTTATTACTTATATTAAAACTTAGGGCTATTTTCATCTGCAGAGTAATTATTATTCTATCACATTTTATCCTTTTTATATTTTTGTGATGTTTAATGTTTCTCTTTCAGTTACTTGGTTTCCACACTGCAGGTAATTCAAAGCACTTTGAATCACCTTGTCGATACAAATAAAGTTGTTGTCATAATCTTCAGCCAATTTTGTCAAATGTGTTTCCCAATGTAAAAATAATTCACCAGAAGACTTTATTTGTTTTGATTTTTTTTAAACAGTGCCACTGACTCCTCCTTTTGTTTCTCTTTGCTCTTTTACTCAGAAATAAGGAACATAATGAATTTCTGTTCTATCCCCAATGGTCTCTCAATTGTTAAATATATATCTACATAATGTGTTGACTAATAATGACTTCTTGAATTTTTACACATACTGTAGGTACCAGGTTTAAAGAGACACACCACTGTGTCAGTGGTGTGCTGAATATTTTTGGTTCACTGCAGTGAAGTTTTCTCACAGACTGACCTTATAGTATGACTCAAAGCTAATTCTCTCTTTAGTGATTTGTCTCCAGTTGCATCATATTCAGACTATGCACGCATTAGTTAAGCTGCCTTCACATGTTAAGAAATTTGTTCTTTTCTCACCGTGAAGAAATAGTGCAGACATTTGCAGAGGCAAAGCAGCTATATGTCATCTACACAAAACAGCTGCAATCACAGAGGGTTAAACCTCAAAGAATAGGACCATGTTGTGTACGATACATTTTGTAATTCAGACCAGATTCTTATGATACAAAGCACGGCCCCTTTCACATATAACACAAATACATGGCAAGCACAGTTGATGTACATAAACAGCTAAGCTAACTTTAGCATTAGATTCATCTTATTTCGTAAACTACATGCCTATTCACAAACCTGGAAACCCAATCTGAATGTTTTCCTGGGCCGATGTATGTATTTAATGTTGTGTTAATGAGTTTGAGGAAGATGACGTGTTTTTCTCTCCCTCCCCTGCTTGCATGTGTTGCTTCTGGCTACATCCCTTGTTACCTCATTGGTTGCACTTTGAAACATCAGTGGCAAACAACAGATCAAAGTTGAAATATTTTGAACTTTGAGTGCAGCGCTCAGTGGCAATTTCGAAGGGTGGGCCATGTCAAGGGTAGCACTTCTGCTGAGTTGGGTGCTACCTCTCTCCCCATAGGAAGACAATGGCACAGCCAGCACAGAGTGGCTTTGAGCCACAGACATAATTTCCACTTTTAACACCTGCAGACATTTGTGGCTTGCATTGGCATGCACATGATTCCATTTATATTACATTTAAGGGGTTTGCGTTGGTCTGGCGTTCCATGTATGTGCATTCCTGATGCACACTATATACCAGCTGTCCCAGATGTTTTGTATTCTTTGAAAGACAATTCTATAAATGTGGATAAAGATGAATCTCCTGGCACAACCACTCTTCAAAACAAGCACCCATTTTGTTTTCTTCTTCTTGGCAAAGCATCTAGAGGAAAACAGCCACAAAATGGATTAGAATATGTAACAAGATTATATAGTGACATGCAAATTTTTGGCGCCCCTGTCAAAATTTCTTTTACTGTGAAAAGCTAAGTAAGTAGAAGAATAACTGATCTCCAAAAGGCATTAAAGGTAGGGTTTGGAGGATTTTCCAGTTGCTGTTTGTAAACACACATTCAAATTTGGCCCCTCCTATCACGCTCAACTGCGCACTGCCCCTACCCCTCCCGGCAGTTGGGTGTTACACAAAATGATTCAAAGCTCAATCCTCACACTACATCAAGCCATATATTAGCTAAACGTAAAGTTATTTGCATCGGTTGATAGTCGGAATTAGCCTCCACAACAAACTACGTAGGAATTACAGTTGTTGTA